TGCCTGCAGGAAACTCGGGCCTGTCTCTAGTCTCTAGCCCGGTACGCGTTTGCAAGCGAATGTTTCTAGTTACAGTTGCCGGTTGACAGGTGGCGGCTTGTTGTGGTTGCGCTAACGCGTCTTTTACCCCGCGCTTCTCCGAGGCCCTGTCACCTCCACCTTCCCGCAGCACAAGGACTGCACTTGCCTCAGTGGAAGAAGAACATCTCCAAAAACAAAACACCGTGTGCCTGGAAGAACGCTCTGACTCCGAGTGAAAGTAATTGACAAAACTGAGCACCCTGTCGCTGATTGCGACTCTTAGTGCCGAAACGTTCCCCCATTGTTTGATCCTAGTAAATCAGTAAATCCTAGTATATAATGGGACTACCTAATATCAGGGGCAATGTGTTTGGTGCCATTGAGGCCAACAAGGCGCTCAACATTGTCAGGAATCGACATTAAAGATAAGACCAACATATTTCAGTGAACTTCATTATACGCCGACGAGAGAGAACAGAGAAAAGTGTATAGAGGAACTAGTAAGGTAAGGGAAGAGAAGAAGTTCAGCGAGGCACTGTGCTTGAAAAAGCACATAGTGAAAGGGCCACCGGGCAGCCAAGACCAGGCACTGCATTGGTGTAGGGAGGAGTACCACAACGAAAGGCACAAACAACGCAAAGAAGAAAGGACATGGCGGCAAATAGAAGGAAGCAGGAACAGGATGAAGACCGAGAATGATAGATCAGGATAGGGCCCCCAGCCAGGATAGGGTCAAACCTCGTGAAAAAACCATGCACAGAAGTGACACTTCAACCCCGAAGCTTGAAACTTAAAAACGTTTATGTCCAAAACTTTGAAAAGCCGGGACTTGCTTTGGCCCATTGGGCCCAACACTACTCCGATCAGTCACCCTGATCAAATTGTTTCTCCTCTCAGGCCCCAACGGACGCTCCTCACGAGAGGAATAAGAATGCCAAAGTAAGCTCTCCAAGCTCATCAAGCTCATCAAGACGTGCCAGGCAACAAGTCAGTTTCAGCATGATGTGCACTTGCTTGCGTCTCATGAATCATCTCTTTTTTGCATGGGGCAGGCCTCAAACTGCACCACTCCGGGCACCAGTACTGACCTCAGCAAATTGTTTACGTCAAAGTTTGCCGCATTGGTGGATTTTGAGACCATGTCGACCATGTCGTCCCAGACGAGATCAGAGTTCCCTCAGCATCTTCAGCCCTTTTGGCACTCAAGTCACCTTAGCATACTAGTCAATCGATTCGGGACCATTCATATGTAGTTTACGGGCATGGCGATGCGATACTTGATGTGCCTTGTCGTTTTCGGGGCCGGCTTGGTGTGGGATTGTGCAGGTTCGGTTTGCCAAAAGCCACGCCTCCCTCTTCGAGGTATCTCCCTACTTCAAGCTCTTTCCAAGAACAAGTCAAGCAATTCATCATTGACCTCGCCAAATGCTTCCGTTGTGGATGATGCCATGAATATTGCAGAGACCGTCGGAAACGTGACCGAGGACAGCCTCTCCAGCTCAGTGAACGAAACCGGTGCCGCAGCACCGATTCAGAATCTTAGCGCTCCAACGGTGGGAGTGAATTATTCCGACATAGCAGCCGATGAGAAGGAGGAGACTCCACCTCAACCACCCTACTCAACAAAAAATGATAGCAAAGTAGTGAAGGTGCATCCCATTGATGGAGCATCACCCCTGCCTGAACCACAGCCACCCAATATCACATCCGAGATGCGTGACTGTATCATGAGCGACTGGAGTTCATGGTCCGAGTGCCTGACGGATACGGCAAATGGCTACGCTGGCTCACATCAGGTGAGAGACCGAAGCATCGTTCAGCCTTACCTTCCTGGCGGTCGGCTCTGTGAACCAACGCTAGAAAGTCGGAATTGCCTGTTGATCAGCGCAGCCAATACTCTGGTGAATTTGGGTGAGTGAGGAAGATACAGCAAGAAGCTTGGGCCACATGTGCAGCTCTTGCTCTCATAAACAAAATCGAAAGTTGGATGATGTGGAAAAGGTGTGGGTTGCGGACATTAAACTCTCGTAGACCTTGTGTGGGATAATGCCCTTGTTTGCAAATATTGCCGGCATTCATGTTCAGGTCAGCGTCTCTTCTCAGGAGGTGACTGGCCTACTGAGTGTAAGTGCTCCAAAAAGCTTTTGACCACACATAGATCAGTGTATCACAGGTCTTGTCCAAGATCGTCGCCATCATGCGGAAACGCAGCTTAAGGACGGAAATTCTATAAGCACAGTGAGGTTTGATTCATAATGGTGCAGGCTTCGTGAGCGCTTCATCGATTTTGACCGGTTCCGCAAGGGGGCCACAAGCTCAGCAAACTTTTGGGCACTCAGAGAAAAGCACTACTGCACTCAACTGGATGCAAAGGTAGGCAAAGGACTCAAAGGACATAGAAATTGACGCAGAACCACAAAACCATTGAGGTGGTTGCCCAGAGCCAAATGCGCACAGTGCAGCAGCCTTGGACTCCCTGGAGTTCATGATTGAGAGGGTGATTGAGAGTTTATTTGATGTTTTTTAAAGTTAAAGTATTTATTCAGCCAAAATTTAGCGCGAGGCCCTGCCTCCCTACTTAATATAAGTGGGCGCCTTTTCAGCTACTAGCTACTTAAGCTGCTAGACATGGACGCAGGATAGCTCATGCTTCTTCAAGGAAGCTCCCCCTGCCTGAGGGTGTGGGGGAGCTTCCTTGAAGAAGCGTTCGCACTCATGATTTGGTTCCTAGAATGATGAAATCAGTATGTGGTGCCTTATTAATATCATTTTCCTTCAGCATTGTGCAGGTTGGCGATTCTCGGTCTAGATCTTCAGCGAGCAGAGCCGATGGCTCATTGAGCTTGTCCTGTAAGACTCACATATTGATCCAATGATCCAAACTGCACCGCCACGGAGCACGCAGGTTGGAAGCGCTTGATAAGGCTTACGACTCTGTAGGCCCAGGTGCTCCTTCAGGATCTTGTTGACGACAGGGAACAAGCTAGCGAAGTGTGGGATTTGCTAGATGGGACCTTGGTTGACTCGACACGACGTGCCGATGACAAAGAGCGGGTGTTTGGAGATGTTTGGAGTGAAGGGAACTAAGGGATCAGGATTTGGCAAACAAATGCCACAGTCAGAAGTTGCCTTCGAGATACTTGCAGGGGGCTAGGGTGAAACAATGGAATCCTGTCAGAGGACTGGATGCTGTGACAATAGATGCGCACAGTGAGAGTGTGTGGAAATAGGGAGTCAAGTAGAAAGTGTGCGCAGCATGATACGCCATGGCGCCTATAACAACCATGCAATGAACAGGAAGAGGTTGGGCTGTTTGCAGGTGATGCTGCAACAGATCCACGAACCTTCTTTCGATACGGTGACTTTTGTGCGGACATTGCACGCATGGAGGCTGGATGGATTTTTGTTGTGTTCTCAGTGGACCATGAACTTGTGTTACTGTCCATGTTCGAAAGCCCTGAGAGCTAATGCACCTTTACAGCATTACCAGCGAGGTGATGAGAGGGTGACAGCCAACTTGTCCACTTGTATAGTGTTGCTGCTGCTGCTGCTGCCCCTTTGTGCGCATGGTGCCAATACTTGGTATGGATGTTTAGACCCAGCGCAACTTGAGACCACTTGGTCAGCAGTCAGGTTGATAGCATAGCACACCGGGCGCATATTTCGGATGTCTAATACTGTGATGTTACCAATACCTCTCAGATCCCTTTGGTTGAGGAGTGGATATTTAGTTGGACAGACATCCACACATTTGAGCCCCCCAAGTATTGATGCAGACCCATTTGACTTTGGGTGGTGCATGTTGGTGAGTGTTTCAGTTTTT